GCACCTTTACGTGTGGCACCTTTTTTTTATTCTCCACAATTGAGCAATTCAGGTTATTCACTGTTATATACACAGCACCCAGGGTAGTCACCGCAAGACAAGGGAAATAAAGTGAACTGGTTTACGAGCGATGTTTGCTCAGTTTGTTTAAGCAATGCCTCTCGGTGACAAATGCAAACGGCCAATAGAGTTTTATTGTTTAAGTGTGGCAACCAAAATTATTGAGCAGAGCCCTACTACAGCTGTGACTCAAATCGTTTGGCCTGCTTCTGAGGCTCGGCCTCATTGTGAGTGAGCAGCGGAATCTCAAATAAAGTGCGCCGGAAGCATAACTCAGCCTCTAAAAAAAAGGATTGGTGATTTATTGGTGCACAGTCCCCAAAGTGCAATGCCAACACGGCAGGTGTGATGGGTTATGGAAAGATTATGTTTGCGTACGCAGTGCGAGGGGGAAGTTACAAGTCAGTATCACTTCACACTTGCAGTTTACTGATCTTTTGTTGTTCCGAGACCCTTTTTTTGGGTTTCTCGCTCAGTCATTTGCAGGCATGGTACATATAGACGTATCGATCAAGCAAGCACACCTTTCTGTTGACATGGGTTTATACTTTGAGCGAGACTTGAGACCCTGCAACTCCACCGCACTTGCCTTGCCATGGGATACTTACAGAGGGGCAGTGCTCTTTCATTCTTACTCCTCCTTGGGAAACCTCGTTGATGAGATCTGTCGCGTGGATTAAAGAGTTCAACAATTGCCCTATCAATGCGAGTTGTAAGTGCAAGCGCCCCCTGAGATTGATTAAATGTTATTGTCCATATTCAGGGTGATGATGAAAATGAATCGCAGTGTGCTTCAGTGGGGCCAAAAGTAAACGGAGAGACAGAGTGTCCGTTACACATGACCTGGGAACATGCATGTGGACAGTTCTCCAAGCATCTTTGCAAATCCAGTACATGGGTTTTGTTGTCGTCTTCTCTCTAAAGGTGTTGATGATGGCGAAGAGCCCTGCGCTTGCGATGGAGAGCGGCGGCCACCCACTAGGTTGTCCCTATTCGTCGTCCCTTTGAGCAGAGAGAGTCTGCTTGCAATCAAGCCAGGTCGTTTGGATTTAACATGCACGCTTGCAGCCTTATTTGAAAAGTCAGAGGTCTCATTACTTTGAGGAGTCTAGGGCTCTGGTGGGCGGGTGGGGGGAATGGCTTCAGAGAAAGAATATATCAAAGCTTCTCTGCTTTTTGATCTTTAAAAAAAGGCGGATTGCGAGCGAGTGTGGCCAGCAAGGGGAAGCTCACGCTTTATCCAACATCGTCGGTTTCAATGGTTCAGAAAGTTGACTTGTGGGTGTGATCGCGGCAGGTGTAAATACGCAACGTTTATTTTATGATCCACCCTGTGTATTCCTACTGTATACGTTAGACCTTCCTTATGCACTTGGTAAAGACGCCATCGGGTACTTTTTTTTCATTGCCATGAATTTCATACATTTCAGCACTTAGCCCGGGCATTGCCTGATATTTACAGGCATAATGCCGGGTCAGGATGAATGTCTGAGGTTCTTCTTTACCAGTGCAGAGAGACTTCTATCGCAACAGATATGGGTATATGTGTTGCCCATCCCACATATTACTGTACTTGTCCTGTGCATACAAAGATCATGATTGTTGAGGCTAATGCTTTTCATAATTTTCTACAAAGACCAGACCTGTGGCCAATTCTCATAACTTTATAAACAGCAGCATTGTTAGCTGAGATTATAATTAGAATTATATTTTAGTTGCAATGAATTATGCATGTCACACACAATCACCAATCACAGTCAAATTGTAATTGACTCCCAGGCAGAGGCAGGGTCGAGCTTTTTAAAGCGGACCATACTCGAATAATAATAATAAAAAGTAATTATTTCTTCTCTGGTAATTATCAAGAAAATTCAGATTATTTTTTTTGGGGGGGGGGTGGTTACACATTGGAATCTGACCGCAAGAATTTGTTTACGTTCAGCGTATCACACGAGTAGCGGGGTCGTGCGGCCAGTCACCCAGGGGGTGACTCGTGCTGCCGCCGTTGACGCCATCCGTACCAGGTACTCGCTCGAGGCTGAGTCAACCACGGCCAGGTGCAAGACGATGGCCAGATGTGAAATGCCATTGGCGTGGTTCACAGCCAGGAATCAAATCAACTCGGGGGGGGGGGCATCCTCAGGCTGGCCCGCGTGTGAGTGGGCGGGTAGGGGCAGAGTGGCGTTTCACGCGCGGTGCTGTCAACCCGGCAACCCAAGTTTGATTCCTGCCAACGCTAAGTGACGATTGTCTGAACCGGTATTTGGGGCTCCCCTAGGTCGACTCGGCCTTACATGAGTTCGTGCTGCAGTATTTAAACACAGGCATTGGGGAGACAATGGTGGTCGGGCGTGGTATTGGCCATCTACCCGCTGATACGCCGTTCCGGCCTGCATAGGTGCTCGCTAGCAGCACTTACCCCAAAAGTGAGTTAAAGGCTACATGGGGGAATCTCTGTCTTTGTACCTGTGTGAGTGAGCAAGCGTGTCTTGTGTTTGCATCACAGACACCCGAGTTCCTTCGTCTGGTCATTCATTACAGGTGGCTCTGCTGTTATCGGTTCAGCTCATTTGTTTATTTCACTGTCAACTGATAAGAGATGTTAGGACGTGTTGTTTAATTCCTCATAAGATGATATATTTTAATTTCTTATGCTGTACTTCCTTTGTACAGTATTTGTAGCATAGTACCATGGGTAAAAGCACATTATTATGATACATGTTTGGAATCATGCACCATGTAAATGAATACCGTACTGCGAATGACAAATTCAATTCAGACAGTAATGATCAGCACTTTGTCAATCCACTGCCGAATGAAGGCCTCCCCATGCCGTGCCAGTCATTCAGGGGTTGTTTGACCATATTTTACAGCGTCGCAGCTCCGCGTTCAGACATCGCTCGCCATCGCCAGTCGTTTGCTGAGAAATGAAAATATGACCAGCGCAGAAACTCAGATGGCAAGGTTTTTCATAGCGCAGCGCGCACACCACCGTGCCACCAACTCCACTCCGATCTGAAATTACGATTCTGAATTTAAAACACGGCTTATTATAAATCGATAACGTTTTTCAAAACATCGGATCTGCCAGCGTAGAGTGTGCGCTCATATATGTGAGACGTGCAGGGACAGGTAGGAATGGTGTATTCGGTGGAAACTGCACTGAGTTCGCTAAAATCCCTTTGGTTGCTGGACTCTGGCTGGTCTCTTTCTGTCTGCAATGTTCTTTGCAACTTATGTTCCTTTGTTTAAGCAAAAAAAAAACTAAAGTTATGTTTTTTTTTACTCTTTGCCTGGCTCACTCAGGAAACCAGATTTGCAGATAAAATGTGTGAGACACAAAACAAGCCCCGGTGAATTGCTACGCACGCCAAAGCATTCCCCTGAAATGTGTAAAATAGACAGCCCCCCAACCTAGGCTGCCGGATTTTGTTATTGTGCCCCGCAGTTAAGCTGCACTTTGCGTTTGTTGTGAGGTTACACCATCAGCAACGACTTTCAATCGAAGGATGTGGGTGCCCCAAGATAAAGTCACCCTTTTTTTACCAAGTGGTTGTATTGTTCGAGAAACCTTGAAAGATACTTTGTCGGGCATGCACGCAGTTTATGCACTTCACTCCTGTGTATAAGTGCATTGGAAACGTGCCCAAAATTGTGAGTTAATTGCCGTCTCGCTTGATGTTTTGCTGTAAAGTAAACATAGACGTATGGGACTGGCATGAATAAAACCGTGGGCTTTGCTAAACGATTCCACGTATACCCACACAACCCGCAATGCTTATTGTTCCATATTCTTACTGTGTATAAATGTAAATGTACGGTGCGATGCATTAATAGATAACCCCCCCCCAAGACAATAAAGATACATCACACGTACAGCATAGAGAAAACGAGGCTTTATTTTAAAGCCCCCACTAAACGTCTGCGTACTTAATAAATCTGAACACGAATCCTCAATGTAAGATACGCAGCTATTGCTTTTCACAAGATGCAGCCGGCAGTTGTGAAGAAGATAGAATGTGATGTATGCAGTATCTATAAATGGATCCCATCCCTACGAGTTTGCTCAAAACACAGTGTTGAAATACATCATTGTATATGGGCTCTCAATTATATTGTTCACACGATAACTTTTTCTGCAAGTGCTGAATCAATTGGCTGACTTATTTTTAAGACGAGAGCTTTGATTGGCAAGTTCAGCAAAAATGTTTTTCAGAATTTTTTTTGGCAGAAAATGGCTAAATGGGCGAAAAATGCGTGATTTTGTTTCTGTTTTTTTTTAAACCAAGTGTTAAGAATTTCCTTTCCATCAACAGTGGGGTTAAGCCCAAGTTGTACCAACAATTTAATTATGCCCAACTTGTGCAACTGTCCATCAGGTCAGGCTCGGTCACATGCAGGCCCCGGGGTAGGGTTTCCACCTGTCCTGATTTTCCCAGGATCCGTCGTCCTTTTGAGTTAACTTCTGGGAACTCTGTAAGGCTTCCTGGGACATTGTAAGCCCTAACTTCTTTTTCAGTTGTGCAATAATAGCACCACTCAAGACAATGCATGAACATGCAGTTCCCCCCTCTTCTGCCATACCTAAATATTCTTCTCACCGAGATATGTCCCAGTTTTTTATTCCTCAGATGTGTCATGGGCCATTGCCCTTTCATTATAAATGCCTACCTACCCTTCCGGTGAAACGTCTCATTTGAACAACGTGCCATAAGTGCTGTCGCTATTTGCATGCATGTACATTGAACTGCTTTCGCACCGTACGTAGCCAACCGTGCTAATCGGAGGTGCGGGGGAACGGACAACAAACTGAACACAAAAAGCAGTTCTATTTTACGTGCCTGCCCGCTTCAGCAGAGCACACCCCACCTAGTCCACATCAGTTGTGTTGGAGGGCTGCGTCATTGCCTGATTTTGTCGCCCTGCTCCCCGCCGTTTAGGACTCGACCTCGCTGGATCGCTGCATCCAGGCCACGCTGTCGGCCCTTTACCCGCCGTTTGAGGCCACGGCCGCCACCGTTCTGGAGCAGGTGTTCTCGCTTGTGGAGGAGGCCTACCAGGGCGATGGCCTGCGCTACTTGCTCGAGTTCCTCGTGCCGGGCAAGCACCTCCTGCAGACGGTGCAGCAGGACTCCTGCGTGAGTCACGCTGACACAGCCACTCAACACCCCCACCGCCCACCCCCCCCCCCTGCGCCGCTGCTGATCCCTTTTTCCTTTTGGGTGACACGGAAAAGGCAAGAGGGTTGTGAAAAATAAGAATAGGTTTTACCCTATATTCTTAGTTTTTTCGGTAAAGTCACGTTGAAGAGAAACAACAAAATAACAAAATATATATAAAACAATAAAAAAATTCTCACGACGTTTCGACCATAACTCAAACGGTCATCATCAGGTGTGTCGGTTTGCATAAATTTATTTTGAAAACGGCATATTTATTTATATATATAAAAATAACGTTTGTGTCACGCGCAACGATGGCAGTTTGCCAGGACTAGTCCATCTATTTTTTGAAAAGAGGAGGGGGGAGACGAAATTTGTTTTTATGTATGCTGTCTGAAAGGCACTGTAAGCGTGAACAATCAATCAAGAACTGAAATGATTTATCAAATCTTTCCAATGATTGCTAAGATAGAATCCATCTTCTCGGTTGAAATTGTCTCTGTGTTTGTATATGTGGATAGCCTCATGAACGAATCTCTCATGGAAGCCAGATGGCTTACAAAGAACCTCCGTCTTGGAAAAGTCAATGGCATGTGAGCCTACTGAATTAGAACAATGATCTGCTACGGCCGAGGTGTTGGTCCTACCGTGTTTAAGGTCTGCTTTATGTTCACGAATGCGGTCCGAGATATGGCGTTTGGTTTCTCCAATGTAACTACTACCACAGAGGCAACTTAGTTTGTAGACACCAGGGTATTGTATGTCCGGAATCACATCTTTTACAGACGGAACCAGATCACGGATTTTATGTAATGTGTTGAAACGGACCTGGATCTTGTGTTTATTCAAGATTTTGGAGATCTTTTTTGTGATCCCAGCAATGTAGGGTAAAGTGATGGTTTTGAAAGGCTCCTCAAGAGGGTTCTTCTTCATGGTTTGAGTGATAGCTTTGCGGATTGTATAGTCGGAGTAACCATTAGCCCTAAGAGCTTGGTGTACGTGCTTGAGTTCACTGCTTATGTGTTCCTGGTCGGATATGCATTGGGCTCTATGATACAGAGTCTTGATGAGAGAATTCTTCTGTGATGGATGGTGGTGGGAATCCGGTTTCAGATAAGCATCCGTATGGGTAGCTTTCCTGTAGACAGAGTGGCTCATTGAACCATCAGGTCTCTTTTTAATTAGGACATCCAAAAAAGGTATCTTGCCATCTATTTCGACTTCCATGGTAAATCTGATGGCTGGGTGTATGGAATTGATGTGGTCGAAGAATTTGTCTAGAGCAGGCCGGCCATGTGGCCAGATGACAAAAGTGTCATCCACGTACCTCTTCCATAAGGTTGGGCGCAGAGTGGCAGTCTGGATGGCGTCAGTCTCAAATTTCTCCATGAAAATGTTAGCTATAACTGGAGAAAGGGGGGAGCCCATTGGGGTGCCCTCAGTTTGTTTGTAGAAAGTTCCATTCCAAGTGAAGTATGTATTGGTTAAACAGTGTCTCACCAGGGGGGGTACCTCAGTGTTTAGTCCTTGATGAACCAAGTCTTCAATGATTGCAATGGTGTCAGGTACAGGAACCTTGGAGAATAAGGAAACTACATCAAAACTGACAAGCAGGTCGTCTGGGGACAGGGAAATACCCTTGATTGTTGATACCAGGTGAGTAGAATTTTGTACCGCAGAGGTGGTCTTTCCAGTGAAAGGACGCAGGATTTCAGACAAAAAACGAGCTAGTTTGTAGGTGGGGGAGCTGATAGTAGAGACTATGGGACGAAGAGGTGTATCAACTTTATGTATTTTTGGTAAGCCGTATAATCTTGGTGGCCTGGCAGCAGAAGGTTTCAACGAAAACTGTTTAGATTGATCAATTAATGCGGTTGAATCAGAAATTATTTTGTTGGTTTGTGTGACGAGGCTGTTGGTGGGATCTCTTTTTATTTTTGTATAACTACCATCGTCGAGTAATTCTTTAATTTTGTTGTTGTATTCTATTTTTTGGTTCATCAAGGACTAAACACTGAGGTACCCCCCCTGGTGAGACACTGTTTAACCAATACATACTTCACTTGGAATGGAACTTTCTACAAACAAACTGAGGGCACCCCAATGGGCTCCCCCCTTTCTCCAGTTATAGCTAACATTTTCATGGAGAAATTTGAGACTGACGCCATCCAGACTGCCACTCTGCGCCCAACCTTATGGAAGAGGTACGTGGATGACACTTTTGTCATCTGGCCACATGGCCGGCCTGCTCTAGACAAATTCTTCGACCACATCAATTCCATACACCCAGCCATCAGATTTACCATGGAAGTCGAAATAGATGGCAAGATACCTTTTTTGGATGTCCTAATTAAAAAGAGACCTGATGGTTCAATGAGCCACTCTGTCTACAGGAAAGCTACCCATACGGATGCTTATCTGAAACCGGATTCCCACCACCATCCATCACAGAAGAATTCTCTCATCAAGACTCTGTATCATAGAGCCCAATGCATATCCGACCAGGAACACATAAGCAGTGAACTCAAGCACGTACACCAAGCTCTTAGGGCTAATGGTTACTCCGACTATACAATCCGCAAAGCTATCACTCAAACCATGAAGAAGAACCCTCTTGAGGAGCCTTTCAAAACCATCACTTTACCCTACATTGCTGGGATCACAAAAAAGATCTCCAAAATCTTGAATAAACACAAGATCCAGGTCCGTTTCAACACATTACATAAAATCCGTGATCTGGTTCCGTCTGTAAAAGATGTGATTCCGGACATACAATACCCTGGTGTCTACAAACTAAGTTGCCTCTGTGGTAGTAGTTACATTGGAGAAACCAAACGCCATATCTCGGACCGCATTCGTGAACATAAAGCAGACCTTAAACACGGTAGGACCAACACCTCGGCCGTAGCAGATCATTGTTCTAATTCAGTAGGCTCACATGCCATTGACTTTTCCAAGACGGAGGTTCTTTGTAAGCCATCTGGCTTCCATGAGAGATTCGTTCATGAGGCTATCCACATATACAAACACAGAGACAATTTCAACCGAGAAGATGGATTCTATCTTAGCAATCATTGGAAAGATTTGATAAATCATTTCAGTTCTTGATTGATTGTTCACGCTTACAGTGCCTTTCAGACAGCATACATAAAAACAAATTTCGTCTCCCCCCTCCTCTTTTCAAAAAATAGATGGACTAGTCCTGGCAAACTGCCATCGTTGCGCGTGACGCAAACGTTATTTTTATATATATAAATAAATATGCCGTTTTCAAAATAAATTTATGCAAACCGACACACCTGATGATGACCGTTTGAGTTATGGTCGAAACGTCGTGAGAATTTTTTATTGTTTTATATATATTTTGTTATTTTGTTGTTTCTCTTCAACGTGACTTTACCGAAAAAACTAAGAATATGAATTACTGCAGTCACGAAAGCTTTAAATCAAGGTTTTACCCTTTCTGGCAACAAAACAGTTGTGTTAAGATGCTCGAACACCAAGTACAAACCTTTTGCAAGGAATCAAGTAACTGCATTAACCACACGTACTTGTGGCGAACATGCGAACAAACACGCCCTGATAATATGATGCATTGTCCCTGAAACTGTTTGGCCTACACCAGAGATGGCCTTCTTTATGAACTAGTCTCACCAGTGTCAGACCAGAGACATGGCAAAAGGCGTACAGTACAAAGACAGTGCACGTATGAGAACATTTATAGCTCGGGTTGCGCAGCAATGTCACGGGATCTTTTTTTTTCTTTTCCCCATGATCATGAGGGTTTGTTATTTGCTTTGCAGAGTCGAGGCTTTTTATGGGAAAGGGTTCAAAGGGAGAATACATCAGAGCTTCTCCTCTCCGATCCTCGACGAGGAGGAAGCTCGCGAGTCTGTTCGGGGGGGGGGGAGTGGGGGGCGAAGTGCTGACTCCAACGTTGGTTTCGGTGATTCACTGGCGCAGGAGCACAATCTCTCTTCGGTGAAGAAGCGGTCATTGCCTGAAACGTCACTTCGTATACAGTAAAGCCCTGGATTGCGAGCATAATTCGTTCCGGAAACGTGTTTTTGTAATGAAAAGCACTCGTATATCAGTTGTGATCACGTGACGCTCGGGAGACAAAGGTGTGCATACGTACTACTACTCGTATTGCAAGACCCTCGCTCGTTCATCAAATTCATTTTTATTTTTTAAAAATTTGCTCGTCTTGCAAAAACACTCGCAGACCAAGTTACTCGCAACCCTTCCCAGGACTGTTCACCTTAGAGGTTGTTGTCTGGGAAAATGTACGTCGACCAAAATCATTACACATTACAAGTCTCAGGGGTTTTGTATGTTACATACTCTTGTACCCTCTTCAAGTAATGCGAGATATTCTTCTTTGGCATGATATGTGCTGTTGCCTTTGCACCGTCAGAGTGTTGCGACCCTCGACTCTGTCCAATTGCAGGATTTTTATCCACCTGCCCACCGTGTATTATGGAATTACCCAATTATGAGATTTGTGTGTCAGAACGTGTACGTTATAATAATGATTCGTTGGCACAGTTTCTAGATTCTGAGTGGGGGACGCTCACAAGTTGAGTTGCCCAAACATGTTCTTAAGCTGGACCCGCTTAAAAAAATAATCTCGAGAATTTGCTGAGGCTTTTCTCGATGATTAAAGTACACTTTTATTATTTGAACGAAGGTCATGTTTGAGGGAAATTTCATAAAATAATTCGCCACGTGTTGTTTTGTTTTGCCCTTGTGAACCAGTGCCAATGTAATCCCGACATTTCTTGCATAATTTTTTTCCTCTAGTCAAGTTTTTTTTTGTATTTGGGAGGAAACCAAAGTACCCAGAAACATATACAAGGAGGTAAGCACTCAAAAGTCCTTCCCAGATAGGGCACCAAACCAACTTGGTGTACTGCCATGTTTCTCATGACGCGAGTACAGTATCCCGTGTAAAGATGATGACTGAGGTTCTTCCATAATCCTTGCCTCCAGAGCGCTGCTTCGGAGACACGTGCCGCCAACCACAGCTTGTAAATGTCAGTGACCGTGATTGTGTTTGTCATTTGAAGTTTCACGGCATTAATTTGATCACGTGTTAAGTTTGATTTGTTTTAGGAACTTTTTTCTTCTGGAAGGAATGTATTGACTTAGCTTATTCATTTAACTCCTAATATCATTCAGCTACATTTATGTTGCATTTCACAGTAAAATGCTTGACATTGTTAATGATGCAACGTCGCTTTGATGTACTCAAAGCTGTTATTTCTTACGTAGTGATTTCAAATGAAAACGGTTACCCCGCGGTTGTCGTTTAAATGGATACCTTAAGCGATAAAAAGAGTTTGACTGCTCTAACACGCTTGGCAGTTGCTGCCATGCAAAATGGCGCGCCCTCGTTTTGAACGTGCCTCTCCCGTTTCTTCTCCGCGCAGTCATGTTTCCCCGGCCGCTTGTTCCGCCACGAAGGCTGGCCGCTGTGCATGGGCGAGAAGATAATCCTGCAGCTGGCTCCACTCGACCCGCGGCTGCTTAAACCCCGCGACTTCTACCTGCTGCTCACCCCCGCGAGCAAGGCAGTCGGGCGAGGCGGTCAGCCGGCGGTCGCGGCGACGCCCGTGCGCGCCAAGCCTCTGCTGACGCAGCAGCGGCAGCAGCAGCAGCAGCAGCAGGAACCCTCTCCGAGGATTGTCGTCCGCTGTCTGGACGAGTGGGACCGCCGCTGCGTGCAGGAGATCGCCGTGCCCCAAGAGGATTACGCGCGCGTCTTCAGCGACGGGTGGCTGGCGAGCCTGAACGCGCGGCGCGTCGGCACGCCGCTGGAGAACTGCGTGCTGGCGAGCGAGGGCGGCCCCGTCCGTCTCGCCTGGCCGAAGGTGGCGCAGCCGCAGTTCGTCGACTGCGTCAAGTACGCGCCGTCCCCGGCCGGTGGCCCGGCGCTCTGGGCCGGCGACGTCCTCGCCGGCTGCGACGGGCGGCCGCCCGCCGACTCGACGCTGCCCACGAAGCTGCGCCTGAATTTGAGGTCAGAATGCAGAGATTCGGGAATCGATTGCAGACGGAACTCCTGCTCTGAGCTGAGCAGAACGTTCACGATGGAGTGCGACGACTGCGATCCCGATTGCAACCAGAATTCTGTTGTGAGTCCCAGGACAAACTTCAAAGTGGATTCTCTGAAAAGCGTTGGTACCGATTGCAGGGATTCTGGAATTGAGTGCAGGGCGAATTACAAATCGGAGTCGTTGGCCAGTTCTGCCAGCGACTGCAGTAAAAGCTCGGCGACCACAAGCATTGCTGCTTGTACAATGAAAAGCGATTCCTCTTCAGTAAAGGAAGACTCTGAAAGCCCTCTTTTGAGTGGCTCAGAAACCTGTAGTGTGGTGCCAAATGGATTCACTCCAGAGGATACTGCCCCGAGTAATGATGCCCATTGTGAATTTGAAAAGCCGGAGATTCACTTTATGAAGTGCAGAGAACTTTCTGTGGCGCATAGCCCTAATAACGGGTCTCCTACCGCGTCCATCAGCGCCCCGAGTGATCCGCCGCAAAGGCCTGGCGACGCGTCGTGCTTCCGGGTGCCTGCCCAGGGCAGCGGCGCCAACAATCCGTGTGCAGACGCGCTCAAAGACAACGACGCCTCCGCGGGTGCTTTCGAAGATCCGGAAGGCGACTACGTCGAGCTGGTAGAAATCTACAACAGGGCGACCGCCTGGCGAGGCCCACCGCGCGTGGACACTCACGGCAGGAGCTCGCTGACTCGCCACTGCGGCGCCGCGGGCAAGAACGCCGAGAACGGAGGCAGCCGGGCCGGCGGCAGGCTCGTCGTGTTCCGGGAGGAGCCGCCCAAACGCAGCTGCGAGTGGAAGCGGGACTCGGCACTGTTCGAGAGACGCAGGTTCTACCGAAAGTCCTACATCGAGGCCCTGCAGAACCCGATGGACATCAGCTCGGCGTCTGACGATTCGTCCGTAGGTGAAGCAGAGGAGGTGAAGGACCTTGAGGATGACCTCCGAGCGGCCCCCGTGGCAGAGCTGCCGAGTGACAGCCCGGCTCCCTGCACGCCGATCGCCAAGCGGGATCCCGTGACTGAGACGCACTTTGGGCTCTCCGATGATGATGATGATTTTGATGACGAGCAGGAACAAACAGAACGGAACTGTGTAGAAGATTGTTTACAAACCGAATGCCCAAGTGAGCTGGACTCCACCTCTGTTCAGGTTCTGGAGCACAAAACCCTGGCCGCATCTCCTGGTGCCGACAGCTGCCATTTAAGTGAAACGTTTTTCCCAGGTGCCCCTGAACAAATACACTTGGTGAAAGAGCTGCCTGTTGAACACTGCGACGAAGCCACAGTGCCTAAAATCGGTAGTCCGGGTCCAGATAACATCAAGGAAGCCCGTAGAACATCGGAACAAGATGAAGCGGACGCAATAAATGGACTGTGGAAAGATAAAGAGGATGGGTTAGAGGTGATGGCAGAACGTGAAGCTGAGCTGTTGGTTCGCGATGAATGTGCCTTGGACGCGAGTGAACTCGAGGCGGTGACAGCAGAACCTCTGGATGCTGAGGGGCCCACGGTGACGCAGGCCACGGACATCGCAGGAAGCTTCGACTCTGTTGTCGTGGGAGACAGCAAAGTCCTGGAGCTGCATAAGAAACCTCCGAGCCAGCCTGCATGCACGGAGTCACCGAGGAGAATGAACGGCATGGTGCTCTGTGTGGAAACATCGCTGCTGAGAGATCAGGATGAGAGTGTATTCCAAGGTGAGATTTCTTTTTTTTAAAGATACGTCATTCCCCATTTATTCAGCTGTTGGCCTTTCACGTAAGCTCTGCCAGGGAAACTGTTAGAATTTATTCTGCTTTTATTGTCACGTAAGTGAACCAGATTTATGCGTTTTCGAACGTCCATGAATCGTTGATGCAGGAAATGCATGAGTAGAGCTGAAATGTTGGCCGAAAATGAACCGGCGATTTACACTTGCAGCTCCAGAATTCCTCACGAGCACCCTGACAGATGTGGCCAAAGTATGTTCACGTGCCTTCAGTGATTAGAGAGTGATTGTGTTCAGTGATAATTTCATACATGAGACCTATGCTGCTACATACACCACTGTCTGTGCATTTGCATATGCTTGCAAGATATACAATACTGTGCGCTTGACCCAAACACCAGATTTGGGTTTCGAGATGATGGGCAATACCGTGGCAATGGAAATGACAAGTATGACACAGGCATGGTGGACATGGCCATGACGTATTGTGTATCACACCGAGCTGTTGTGCGAGAACAATTGGAAACTACAAAAAAAGTGAAAAATGATTCTACGTTGTGATTATCAGGTTTCCGATCCCCATTCTGTGACCCCGTTGCCATGAAATTGACCGTGAGAATTTATTCTAGATTTGAAGCTTTTTCGTGACTGCAAGGATTCGTACTCTTTGGTTTTTTCGGTAAAGTCAAGGAGATAAAAATAAAACAAAATAAAAGAAAATAATTAAATCGCGACGTTTCGGAGGCAACATACGTAAGCATGTAGTTTTTTAAGTCGCCACACAAAAAAATTGTACTGAATTATGAAATTAGTTATTACATTATACTATGGAGCTGTTGATATGTAGCCACTATTAAACAAAATAAACCTATTTTTTTACCAGGTAAGGCCCACTAAATTGTAGTTGGTGATTAAATTATACGATGTTCCTGTTGATATGTGGCCACTATTAAACTCAACTATTTTACCAGGTAAGGCCCACTGAGCTATACCATGAATGATAGCTCAATGAAGTGGCGTATCATGTGCAACATGTTAGCAGCCAAATACTCTCAACGCACGTTTCTAAATGTGGAGGGAAAAACTGAAGTAATGTGCAAACTATAAATCTACCTACACCTGGTTTCCAGAGAACATAAACTCCTAGGCCGTAGTAGTTGTACATTTGGGTGAAATATAGACATTGTAAACCTATTGCGACATACAGGATGAGCAAAAGGGAAGTTGATAACCGAATAAATGCCCCCCGTATTTTCCTGTCCAATTTTGCTGGCAAGATAAAAAAAAAATCTAGTTTGCCACCAGGAGTTGCGCAATGGGCTCAACTAACGATCGTGTGAGACACCGCAACCCGCCGCAGCTTCTTCTTCTTCTTCTTCACCTTGTGCTGTGATCTTTATTGCGTTGGAATATTCTCGCGTGATTGTGACCGTGGCCAAATAGCTCTGGTGGCTTGGTGATATTCATTTGCACAAGAGTGACAAAATGTGCTTTCATTTCAGTGCCTTATTCGCAGGAGGTGCGTAATTAGAATTTAGAAGCCTAAGCCAGAATTAAGTGTTCATTTGACGAGAGCAGGTCACTATCGGAATATATATATTTCAAACAGAGAAAAATATTATGCTCGTTGACGTTGTTGCTGTTGTTTCTTCGGAAAAAAATAAATTTGTGGGCTCGTTTGCAGTTAAGGCATTATGTAGTTTAGGCTGCTGATTGTGCCGTATTTACAACAGCGCGTGCTGTTTTAGATGCGGATCCCTACTACTCGTGGATTTCATCCAGGTGCTCCAGTTTCCTCCCACAAACAAGTCTCAACTGGATACATAAACCACCTGTATTGCGCCTATCACATAGTCACGTATCGCTAACAATCACCATCAAATAGTAATAATAATTTTGCAGCCCTTTCAAATCCACGGCTGGATGAAGCCCTCGCCATGCCATGTCAATCATGGGGGTTGTTTGACCATACTTCACCACGCTTGTCAGTGTGGTTTGGTGGAGTGGTTTGGCAGTACCGTTTCAGATGTCTCTCGCCGTTCATGTTGTCTATGGCCGGGAATCAAACTCAGGTCACCCAGTGCATAGTACAGTGTGCCACCAACATCCCATCATCAAAATCAAACCATCCCTAAGCCATACAAAAAAAAGACAATTTAACCACTTGGGCAATGTCTCACGTTTCTAGTTGGTACAGTCTAACACCCAGACAATAACAAACAGGGGCAAGGCTAGCGCGCTGGTAGCTGCGTTGCTACGGGTCTGTGGTGCGCGGGACAGCTTGTATCACTTTCATGGTGGATTCGGCGTGCAAATAGTATCCCTTGGGGTCTTCACAGGGGAGGAGGAGGAGGGCACTTGGGGGGAGAAGGGATAGATAGGTGGAACAGCCCCTGCCTCCCCCTCGAGCAACGGAGACGCTCTGGGGCTTGCCAGCACTGAGACATTCCAGCAGACTCGGGGACAATGTCTCCGCAGAGATGCGCTCCTCCTGCTTGTGTTGTGCATCTGTGCAGAAGAGGGTGGTGCCTTCGTGTTGCGGAGGACAGGTTACCCTCACAGGTGAGAGCAGCCAACTCCTGCGGTGGAAAGTGATGTCTTAATGCTAGGGGGGGGGGGGGGGGGGGGGGGGTGTTTGCATTGGTTTAGAGGTGTGCATTGGTTGTGCATTCATTTTCCTCGCTTGCTTGCTTGTTCTTAGCGTTCGCAAAAGCAGGGTAAGGTTTAGAAATGGCAGTCGGATGTATTTCACTCGTGCAAAAGATGTTCCTTGACCTTACAGCTGCAAGAAAGCGACTTGTGTTGGTAGGCGAGGTGGAGCGGGGCAGCGTCGTTAACATGTCTTCTGATGAAAATAATCAATACATTATGGCTTCACTCAAGCTGGGCAAACCTGGCGAGAATGTCCAAAGTCGGGTGTTCGGTTTTAAATAATTTAACCAGATTCCAGAGTGTCCTGCCAGATGCCCGGTCTCTGTTTGTAGGATCAGCACTGCACTATTGCTGAGCTGTCTGATAAACTGTCATTTGAAGTAAAACAAATCTTGAACACAGTGGTTTAATATTTAAAAGGGTCTTTCATGTACCCAGGAAAGCTTCACTGAGTCTCAAGGCTATTTTGCAGGAAGGCTCTGCATTAGGGTTGGCCAATGACATTAATGAGTCTTTGATATGTGGTACAAAACTGGAGATCCAAGAGAGAAGCTCTGCATAGATAAATTAAATAATCCATTGCTGTGTGCTTGCCAACTCCTGGCCACCTTACAGCCCAAATCTACAACACCTGGTATTCCCAGGAAGTCTCTTTGACCAAGCACTTAGCAAGCTCAACGCTATATTCTTGGTTCTTTCGGTAAAGTCACGTAGAAGGGAAACAATAAAATAATAAAAAATATATATGATGATTGCTTGTGTTGCAGTCGAAATGTCGTGAGAATTTTATTGTTTTATATTTTTATTATTTTATTGTTTCCCTTCTACGTGACTTTACCGAAAGAACTAAGAATATTAATCCCTGCAGTCACGAAAGCTTTAAATCTAAGCTCAACGCTGCTTGGCTTCTGGGATCTGACAAGACCGGTTACATTCAGGCTGATTTTGGGATAGGCTGGGTCACCGTTGAAGTAGTTGACACCACTGAAGATGGCTATTGCACTGTTTATATCTCTACATTAACTGGTGATTTGTAATATGTGGTCATCTAAACATGATTTTGTACCATAACATAAAAACACAACTAGTACGATGTTCGTAGAAAACCCAGGAATTGGTACGGCTAAGATGAATGTACAGAACCTGGAGTTTGTGCAGATGATGCAGGTTTATTGGCTGGGACTATGGCTGCGGGGCCATAACGTTGCTGCTGGTCTTAGGCAGTCAGGCTGGACACTGGGGTCATGGGATACGAGTTTTCCACAGACACATGTGAATGGCGAAGGATGGCAAGTCCCCAGTAGGAGGAGGGAAGCTTGAGGTGGGTCAGTATTTGTGCTTGGGCAGTAATGTCCAAAATGCACGTGGCTGTGAGAAGGAGGTCAAGAGGCGTTTTGTTTCAGCAGGGCAGGTTTTTATTTAATGGCCATGGGAACCACTTTTGGGAGAGAAGAGAGATAAGCCTGGAGTGTAAAGAAAAGGGTATTTGAGGCAAGAGGGCTTTCTGTATTGCTGTGCGGATCAGAGGCTTGGACCTTCACTCGGCATTTAGAAAAGAAGTTGGAATTTGAGAACAGGTGTCTGAGCCAGATGCTTGGAATTCCGTTGCGAAACAGGATAAGCAATGCAGAAGTCTGGAAAAGAACAGAGCAGGTAAGGCTTTTAAGATACGATTGGATAAAAAAAGGTTAGGAGAAGTGAGACAAGGCATTGAAATAGTCTCTACGAGCCCAGCGACCAAGGTGAAGAGACCCGATGGTGGGGTGAGACTGGCAGGGCAGACCTTGTAGGTCACTGCATGCGGGATCTCTGGCGGAGGGAAGGAAGTGTTGGCGATGAGGTGTGGGGGCGGCATCAATGTATTTGGCGGTGATGGCATCTTGATCTTGATTATGCTGGGGCATAAAGGTGTTTTCATGAGTTCTATGTGGCTTTACATCCGGATGAGTGGGTGCGATCAAAGCCAGCGCATGGAGCAAAACGACACGGTCCAGTGGCACACGCAAATATAGGCGAAGAAAACACACGACACGCTCTCAGTAATGAAGCGGTCTCTCAAAGAGCGTTGTCTGGCTATTCACTGCAATTTCAGTTGAACGAGCATAAACTTTGATCACAGATGGGGGGGGGGGGGGGGGGGGGGGGGTGACCTAGCTTACGTGTAATAGCGTATGGTTAATTCTGCTAAAGTACCATTTTAATATAACTAATACATTATTTTAGTAATATACAGCCCTTTCTCAGTCTACCGCTTGTTGAAGGCCTCCCAGTTCTCGGTATCGGTCATGGGAGTTGTTTGACCGCGCTTACTGGTAAAGTGCAACAATATACCGCTAG